AAGAGAAACCCGGGGTATGTCCTGTGCCTGCACTGCCCCTCATCTAGAGCTTCCCAGGCTTTAGGGGAAATGGTTTCCCTATCCCAGGCGTGTCTTGGCATCTCAAGCTTTTTTTTCATCCAAAAGGAGGATAAAAGGTCTGTGGAATATTGAAATTGGAACAAATAAAGTGAGGATGCCAAAAATGTTGCATTTGAGTCAGGCTGGGAGGCAGCAGGAGTGTAAATTTTGGTCTGACAAAAAAAAGCAGCGGTGGGTGAAATGTTGTGACCATTGACAAATTTTCTAGAGAACTCGTTGAGAAATCCAGCAAAACTCATTCTTTCCAGTGGAAAGCCTTCACATTTCTCTGGATCTGCATTTTCATAGAATAATAGATTTTTATCAAAAATTTCCAAAAACCATTCCTCTAACCCAGGAGGAAATTATCTTCCCTGCAACTCAATTATAGCACCTTTTTAGTCCCTTTTTCCTTTTTTTCCCTCTTTTTTTTCTCTTTCTCTCTATGGGGATGAACCAGAGCCTCACCTACTTCCAGAGCTGAGGAATATCCTGGGAGCTGATGGCAGATCTCACCCCTCAAGCCACCACAGCCCAGCAGAGTGGGGAGAATGCTCCTCACCCTCTGCATTAAGCAGAGCTGAAATGAACCTGAATCTCACCAATGCTGATGAGATAATGAAGATCACGTGCTTTAGGCTGTTGTTTCACCCAGCTGAAGGTATGTCCCCCTCCAGAAACACTGCTGGAGGTACCATTTCTTTTATTTTTTCCTGATACTGCTGCAACACCCATTCCCAAATAGGATTGATCTCATCAATCCCCGTCCTCGTGCTCCCCGTGCTGGGCTGCCTTGGACGTGCTCCTAGGGAATGTGGTGCTTATTCTACAGCTTTGGGATGGGACAGGAGGCTGGTGGCACCTCCAGGACACCAGCCCATGCATCCCTCCCATGCCTAGGGCTGTGCTGCCACTGCTTCCCGTTATCCCTCTCTGCCACAGCAGCTCTGACTCAACACAACTCCCCTGGCAGCCCTTCCCAGCCCGGAGGGTGGGGTCGGGCGTGTTGTTCATGACACTTTCCTCCTCTCTGGGGGGGCTCTGGCCAGGCTGGGACCTCCCGATGGGGAGCGTGTCCCCCCGTGCCCCCCTGCCTTGCACAGCCCTGTGCTGCCCCTGGGGCGTCACTTCCCCGGGCTGGGGGGGATGCAGATGTTGCCACATGTTGTGCAGCTGGATCCTGGATCCCCCAGCCCAGCTGTGCCTGCAGAGCCTGCCCTGGGCTGCTGCTCCGGGACACTGCCCTGGCAGCTCTGTCACAGCAGCACAAGGAGTGTCACCGGGTGTGATTCTCCTTCCAGCAGGAGCAGCCCCTCAGTCCCTGCTCCCAGTTTGGGGGCACTGGATGGCTGTGGGGACAGGTCACGCTGGGAAGTGACTCTGGAGGGGATAAACTGGCAGGAGTGAGTCCCTGCCACCCCCAGCCCGTTCTCAGCACCCATCCTGTGCTCCTGACTCCAGCACTGCCTCGGAAAGAGGAAGGAGATGGTTTTGCTGAAGGACAGCAGAGTTCCACAGCAGGGTGGGCACTAGCACCCAGGGTGACCCTCACTGTCCCCAGCCTCAGGAGGGGACAGGAGGCTCACGGTGCCCACCAGCAGCTGGGATCTCATCCCCAACCTCTGGGACGTGGCAGGAGCTGGCTGGGGAGCAGGACCTGCCTCTCTCCAGGACGTCAGTGCCACATGACTGCGGTGCCACTGCGTCACTGCCACAGCCCCGGGCAGAAGGATGTGGCTCCTCGTGTGGTCAGGCGGTAGGTGAGCGTGGGGTGGGGAGCACTGAGGTCACCAGGGGCCTGAGGGGACACTGACGGCAGGGGAACCCCTGGGAGGTCCCCTCCCAAGGTGCCCCTCATGAGCCTGGGAGCCACAAGCCCTGGGAGCAGGGACGGTGAGTGGGGAGGGGTCCCCATGTGCTCACATGGGTCACAAACCATTCAGGGGTGTTTGCTTTGGCCCCTGCCCGAGAGCCAGTGGTGAGGGACATCTTTGGCCAATCCAGGACAACTGGCTGATTTCCTCCATCCCAGGAGCCAGCTCTGTGTGCAGACAAGCCCTGACCCAGCACCAGGTGTGCTACTTCCCCCTGGCAGTGTCCCCAGGATGGCCAACACCAGGCAGGTGGAGAACGACATTTCCCAGTGTTTCTCCCTGCTCAGCACCCACCGAGGGAGCCCCAGCTGGGGGCCGAGGAAGGGAAGCATTTCCTGGGCTGGGAATCCCCTCCTGCCTCCCTCCTTCCCCAGAGTCTGCCCTGGAAGGGGAAGGAAGGGGTATTTTTAGCACTTGCCCTACACTTGTTTCAAGGTCTGAGCTAAGAAGAGGAATTGACATTCGAATAAAGGTTGGTTTGGCTTTAAAAGGAAGGGTTTAGTTTTTTCCTGCAACTCAGTCCTTGCAAAACTTTTCTGTGAAGAGGGATTGGTAAAAGTACCTCTCGTAGGAGGCAGCCCTGGGCAGGGCACTGGTGTCACAGCTCCCTGTGCTGGCACTGCTTCCAGTGCCCTTGCCTTCCACATTCCAAAGGGAGGGATGGGGTGGGACTAATCCTCCCTATCCCAATGCTGATCATGGCTCCTATCACCTGCAAAGTGAGTCCCTCCTGCCAGCCCATCCTCCCATGGTTCCTCTCTGCATTCCTGCTCTCCAGCAGCTTTTCCTGACCACTGCTCCCAGCTTCCGAACCCCCTGGGGACCCACGTGCCTTCCCAGCTGCCATCCAGCACCAGTATTGTCCTGGCAACCCACTGGAGATGCTCCAGGTCCCAGAACAAGACACCACCCACACCTTGAGGAGGAGTTTAACTGAATGGCACAAGGTCAGTGGGGGGAAAGCACCTTGTTGACCCCAGGAGCCGGTGGGAGCAGGTTCTCCAGGACCCGAGGGCAGGTGGTGGCCCTTAAGAGCCAAACCAGCGGCCAGAAGGTGGCAATATCCCCCCTTTGTTCTGGCCCTGACAGCAAAAGGTCCCTCCTTGTGCAGGGGATGGGGCCGGTTTGGTTGGGAATCTCTCAGAATCATGGAGTGGTTTGGGTTGGAAGGGCCATTAAAGCCCATCTCCTAGACATTCCCAAAACACAGCATTGCCTGTGCTTGGCAATTCCTGCCTGGCATGTGCTGGATGAACCTCTGCCTTCCCTCTGCCCACTGAGCATGTGATGCCCAAAAAACCACCCAGGCACCTCCCAGCAGTGACAAGAGCAGCTTTTCCTGGTCAGAAAATTCCTGATCCCTCCAGAAGCTGCTCAGATTTCCCCTCAATGTTCCCCTCGGGGCCTGAGGCTGAAAAGGGAACTTGGGGGGATCTGATTTCATAACACCAAAATCCTCAGGGCTGGAGCGAGAGGGGCACAGTGTGGTCACTGTGTCTGTGTGTCAAGGGAAGAGAAGGATCTGCAAAAGCCATGACTGGGAAGGTGAGGTGCGACAGGAATTCCAGGGACTTCCAGAGCACCTGAGGACCGGCAGAGGAACTGACCTAAGAAGCTGTGGGAGGTCAGTCTGACCTTGGTCTCTCATCAAAGACTAGGAATAATTCCGTGGGGAAGAACCCAACCTCACCCCGGGCCCTGAGGGGTCTGGCAGCACCATGCCCTGGTCACACAGCGCTTGGTCCCACAGTGGGTGCAGCTTCCTGGGGCTCCTCTGCCTCCTCCTTGTGGTCCTGTGATGGGTGTGAGCAAAACTCACCATGTCAGGGGGTTCACAGGGGTGGTTTCTCATTGCAGAGCCCTTGGAGAAGCGGATCAGGTTCATCTCTGCCACCTGGGATCGGAGCCAGTCCGTGACCTTACACAGCAGCACCAGCCCTCAGGTACCACTGGAGTAAAACAAAGAGCAGCTCTCTCAAGCAGCAGGGATGGTGGAGGGGACTTTGGGCTGAGGAGGGAGCAGCTGAGTTAGCCTGAAAATCCAAAAACTCACAGAAAACCAAGAAAATTGCTGCCTGCCCCCCAGTGCTGTTGGGTTTCAGCCCTAAGGGGTGCACTGACTGTCCCAGAGCTCAGGATCCGTGTGGGCAGCAGGTAAAAGCACCTTCCAGTGAGAGGGGAAGTTGCCCAGCCAGCGAGAAAGTGAAAGCCTAAAGAATAGCCTTCAGCCTTTGACTGTTTCCAAAACCTGGTGTCAGCTGAGCTGGTGTCTCAAATGTCACTTCCCACTGTGGGAGAAAAACAGCCTACCTGGTTCCTCAAGGTCTTCACAGCACCAGGCAGCACTTTTGGTTCTGTACTTATGGAAGGGAGAGATTCAGAGAATCCACCTTGTGACAGGCATGTGCCACCCATGGGGATGTCACTCTGGAGCAGCTCCTGCCCAGGCAGGCACCGTTTCCTGGCTCCATCATTTCTGCCAGCCTTAATCTGAATATCTGAATGTGTTTTTTAAGCTTTTTGTAAAGAAAATAAGGGAGGGGGCAAAGACAGAAATCAGCCTTTGCCTACCTGAAAGGAGGTTGGAGCATAGTGGGGGTCGGGCTCTTCTCCCAGTGACAGGATGGGAGGAACAGCCTCGAGTTGTGCCAGGGGAGGTTTAGTTGGGTATTGGGAAAAATTCCTCATGGGAAGGGTTGCACAGGCTGCCCAGGGCAGTAACATCCCTAGAGGGATTTCAAAGCCCTGTGGATGAGGCACTTGGGGACATGGGTCAGTGGTGGCCTTGGCAGTGCTGGGGGAACATCCTGCAGCCTCTCAGCCTTAACCCCCTCCCGGGTGCTGTTTCGGGGATGATCGCTGCCAAAAACAGCTGGACCCCCCTCCACCCCCCTCCTTGTCCCTGTCCTGCTGTGAATGGCACCGAAACTGCCTTTGTTCCCCTCCCCGGGCGGGGGCAGGACCTGCCGCTGGCTGCTATAAAAGGGGCGGGGGTGCCGAGCAGCCCCAGCCCCGCTCCCGGTCCCCGTCCCAGTCCCATCCCCAGTCCGGTCCCAATTCCTGGCCATGGGCCACCCCAGTGCCACCGTGCTGCTGTGCCAGCTGGGTCTCTCCACAGCCATCCAGTGGCTGTGAGTCGGGATTCCCCCCTTCCCAATGCGCCTCCTTGGGGGCTCCCCCTGCGTTCCGTGGTCCCCCGCCCCACTGACCCCCTCCTGTCCCCACAGCGGGCTGACGGAGAGCGGCAGCGGCGTGTCCTGGAACGAGAGCCAGCACTGCCGGCTGCTGGTGCCGGAGCAGCTCCAGCTGTGCCGCCGGAACCTGGAGGTGATGCCCAGCATCGTGCGGGCCGCCCGCCACACGCAGGCCCTGTGCCAGCAGAGCTTTGCAGACATGAGGTGGAACTGCTCCTCCATCCAGCGAGCCCCCAGGTTTGGCCCTGACCTGCTGAAAGGTAAAGGATGCTCCTCCAGCCGTGTCCATGCTCCCCACGGAGCATCCCGGGATGGCAGCACCTTGGTGCTGCTCCAGCTCAGCTCTGCCTTGGGTATCCATCGTGGAGTGAATTTGCTGCCTTTACAGGGTGTTAATCCTGTGCAATTCCGTCTGTGGGAGGTGACAGACAGTAGCTTCCATTTCAAACGTCTCCATAAAAAAGGGGGAGAGGTGGGAAGACAGGCTGTGTATGGACACTGTAACACAGTGTGGGGGGCACAGGTTGAAAACACGCTGCACGGAAAATGAGAGCCTTGGGTTCATCCTGCTGCAAGATTTTTAGGAAACACATTTATTTGCATTGTGAGGTCTTTGGGAGGAGTGTCTGGCTGGGCAGGGAGGAAGGACATCTCCCCCTCTTCTTCCCAGGGACCCGGGAAGCCGCCTTTGTGTACGCCCTGGCTGCTGCCACCATTGCCCACGGCATCGCCCGGGCCTGCGCCTCGGGAGAGCTCCCGCTCTGCTCCTGCGGCCCCGGCCCCCCCGGGGACCCCGGCCCGGGGGGCAGGTGGGGGGGCTGCGGGGACAACCTCAGCTACGGCCTCCAGCTCGGGGCCGCCTTCGCCGACAGCTCCTCCAGGTCCGGCAAGTTGGGGACACACGGGAGGAAAGCCATGAACCTGCACAACAGCGCCGTGGGCAGGACGGTGGGTGTGGGATCAGTGGGGTGCTGCGGTC